TCACTTTCCTGGCCCAAAGTCGAGACAACGTGGCCGTTCAATTGGAAAGTTGTATGGAAATGTGTTTCCAAAACTGCAGCCGCTTCCCCATCGAATTTGGCGGCATGTGAGGCACGTTCGCGTGATGTCGCTTTTGGCCATTTCGCTGCCATTTCGCTGCCATTCTGTATGGCTGCTGACAATTATCGATCAGTTCAGCCAGCTGCAGGATAAGAGGAGAGTGAAGGGCGGGAGGGGAACCACGCACAATGGCCGAGCTTAAATGGGACATCGCATCCTTGGCCTCATTTGCATAAATGACGCGAACATCCCGCATGTTGTTGGGCCCTGAACGAGCCATTTATATGTGCATATGCAGAAAGCACAGGATGGGGCGGGAAAGAGCCATCAATGGCCAAGGGTCCCTTTTCCCCGATTGCTGCAACAATTGTTGCATTAAGAGTCCCTCAGCAAATTGCGGAAAAACTGCGTGAAATGTTTAAGGGTCCTTTTATGCCAACGAAGGGTTAAGGGCCTAAATCAGGACCTTCAAACGAAATGTCTTCATTAAATTAAGCTGGGCAAAATTAAAATGCCCCGCTGACGAGAGCGTTGCAAGAAATATTAGTCCCGGCCAGTGTAATTGCCAAGTGTTTTATTGCCAAATTTTCGGAGCACTAAGTCGCTTCCGCCGTCGTCTAACGTCGAACATTTGTCAAGGACTCGACTTTGCCTCCTTTTCGTGATCATAAATTCTCGGCTCTCTTGACTTTTCGCGCGGAATTCATTAGTTTGTTCTGTGTCTGTGCTCAGCTGTGGGCCAAATTAAATTACGTTTAATTACTTGGCCCCGGCTCATAACTTTGGCCAGCTCTACAGTATGCCTTCTGAAGGCCACTGATAAAGTCTGGGACCAGTCCATATGTTTTTCCGGTCTGTCATCGTTAGACAAATGTCCCCAAACGCCTTCGGTCGGAGGACCCTTGAAGATATTGGGCATTCGAAGAGGAGAGTGCATCTGCAGTCAGAGGCTAAGGCATCTGCAGCTGAGTTGGCCCAATCACTTTTGGCCAACAGAAGTGGCCGTTGAAAAGTGTCCTCTGCCTGCTGTCGACATCTGGAAAATATTTTTGTTGATTCTCGAGTGGCGACAGCAGTTCAAAACCGAGATGAGATGCGTCCTTGAGTGGGACAAGATGGGACAAGATAAGTTACCGTAAGGTAGGGGGGCAAACAACGGACGAAGGCTAATACAAATGCAGGCCAGATATATTCTGGTCCCCAACCAAACTCGAGGCTCAAACGTATTGCATTTTTTATTAAGGTATGTCATATTGAGTTGAATTGTTTGACAACATTCGAAATATAAAAATGGTTATAAAAAGTATTAAGTACTAATTCACCCTCTGTTCTTTAAACAGTGGTCAAACCAAAAACATTATAATACTCAAATGTCTTTGGTCAAACTATACGTCAAATTTAACAATATTCTTAGAACGCTTCACTTATTGTATTGAATTTTGCATTGGCGAAATAGATTTAAACATTTTTAAATAGAAATTTCAGTTGCTTAACTTTTCACAAGCATTTTTCCAACCTGAAATTGCAGTCAACTTTCTAATTACCTGAACTCCGCTGCAAAATTCCACAACTCAAATCCTTTTGCCGAAAGCCTTTGTTTCTATTTGGCTTTGGCCAAAACAAAGCCAAAAATAAAGTTGGCCAATTTCTGGTCCAGGCACTCGATACCCAAATTGATGTTAAATGGCAAACTATAAAAAATAAATCAGTGCAAGTAAGTTTGCCTTTCGATGAGGCATGGGGGCATGGCCTCAATTAATTTCAAGTGGTGGGGGTGTGGGTGTGGTTGGGGCGAAAGCAAAAGTTTTCCCGTTTTGTTAGTTTTTAAATAATTTTCCCAAATTTTAATTGAACCCAGCGAGCATGAAGCGCTTTTAAAGCTAGCTTCGGCAGCAGCTGCGATCCGCGCTTCACTCAACCGATTTGCAGTAAATAACTTTCGCCGGTCGGTCCTTCGTCCTTTTTACCATTTTCCCGGCCCGTTGATGTGTGTGGCTGACCACAGCATGTGGCCGCCGGTCGCGTTCTTCCTCGCTTTTCTTTTTGCCATGTTTCCACATGCATCGCACACGCATATAAATAACAAAGCGAGCAGGAAAAACAACAAATGGCCGACCAACAGCAAACGCAAACGTGGCCAAAAGGCAGCAAGTGTAACTAATATATCAGCGCTGGCCACTCGGCAAAAAAATAAATAAGCGCAATCAATCTACATATGTAGTTGAAACAATAATAGCACTTACGATAGGTCAGTCAGAGGAACTCTGCGAGTGCATTAACCTTTATAAGCTCCACTCCAATTCATAAAAAACAGCATGTTTAAATGGAATATTAATCAAGAAGGTTAGTCTCTTATTTGCTTTGCCAATTCAGTGGGTTATTAAAAAAGGATAACATTAAACAGTGTTTCCCAGCACAAGTATAACATAACATAAGAAGTATACATTCGATGAATAAAGAGAGAAACAAATAAATGTTTTAACAAAACCCCGTCTACCTGAGTTGGTAACACAAAAATGTATGAAAACCAACTGTTGTGCCAATAACTAGTACAATTTTATATAAACAGTGAATACCGTTGCCCAAAAGTAATTGGAGTGTTGATTTTTGGAAAAACAGAGATACATACTACTCCAATTAAATATACAGTCTTTTAGTGTTTTGTATAGAGCATATCAATTATAAAATTAAACCCTTTGCGGTTTCTGGTCCATTCTCTTGCATATTTAACCCTGTTCGTTATCCAATATTGATTTAACTTTAAATATGTCTGTATTTCAGCATTGATTGAAGTCAACACCAAACTCACATTTCATTCGGTCGGTTGCAAATATTTGTGCTTTTCTCGTGGCAATTATTAAACTTAATCAAATGAAAACCGCGCGCCGAACCTCAATTAACTCAACTATAAAAATCATTTGCGGTCATTTCGCGTTGGCAAAACAGAGTCAATGCTAACAAAAAAGGAAAAAAACTCAAATCGAGACGGATCGAACGCATTATAAATAAACGTGTGAGCACGATATTTATCCACATGTGTAAACAGTTTTTCCAGGAAGGTGAGTGGCTCCAGTGATATGTTGACCGCAAATTTATATCGACTTTGCCAGGACTATTCACACTCGTTCACATTGAAATATTAATGCGATTTACATTTGTAATTATGTGTACAATATTTTAATTTGCATAATTTAGTAACATGTGTGGCCGGCCAGAAACGACAGGTGAACTGGCAAGGGTCCACCGCTTTTGATCTCCCCGACCGTTTTCAGCCAAATTAATTTGCAATAGTTGCGCTTCGTTTCGCATTTCCAGATTTGCCAGATTGGAAAACTTCTGCTAACCAGACAATGCCAAAGAGCAGGGAATAGAATCGCCAACCAAGGGGTCGAGGGGAAGGTAATGAAGCATTTGCTCCGGACGGCAATTGAAATGTTTATCCTCGAGTACGCAAATCCAATTGCCAAACGAAAATCAGATGCAATGCACATTTGCATTGTACCAGCCGACAGAGATGAGAAACTTTTTAAAATGGGTGGGGCTTCTCATATTTTACGTGAGAGTCTTGAGATTATCAAATGGAATTTGTCCAAGCAATTATATTGTTTAATTTGACAAATTTTTAATATTTATTCAACTCGCTATATGTCTATATATGTCCTAATTATTGTAATAGTAATGCGCGGAGAGAACAAAAGAATAAAATATTTAAACTATTTAATCGACCTAGTCGCATAACTTTAAATTGATTTCCTTTTCCGTTTGATAGCTGTTACAGTATCAGGAAGGGTATTTAGCCTTTAGCGCGACTTCATTTCCCGATCTGCTTTGCTTTTCCTGCTCAGACATTTTCCAGTCCGACTTGCCCTGTTTTGGTACGCCCCCGGCATTGGCAATTCATGCGAAACATTTTGCATGCTCAAAAGTTGCATTTTTGCTCAATAAAATCGCAATAAAGGCGATGGAGGGGATAAACTGGACATGCGAATCGCTTCGGACTCCGATATCCTTTGTTATTCTGCTAGGCAAAACATTTGCTCAGAGGATGTGCCAGGATACGGGTATTCTCGTTCATACGGCATGAGCAATTGATTCGCAGGCACTCGAACGGATGATCGAATTAGGGCCAAGACCAGGATCCGGCCGGAGGACCAAGGACCTGGAATCCTGCAGGCAAGTACTAAGGACTTTGCATGGCCAGCTGTCCGCCTGCCACTTTGGCTGCCCTCTTGAGTGACAAATTAGCCACTTTGGGGCTTGTAATTCCCGCCGTCGGAGGCGACAACAAGAAATGACCGCAATTTGCGCCGGCCGCCGAGTGATTGGTGAGCCTTTCCAGCGGACAAGGATCCTGCGCCGCACTCACCTACAAAACGGAATAAAGATGCTCCGCGCCAACAACAAAGACAGCCAACCAGCCAGCCAAGCAGGCAATGACAGTTATAAATAGCCAAGTAAAATTGTCAAGGGGCAGAAGGTGACAGACGGAAACTACACAAAGAAAAGTAAACTGAAATACATACTCATTGTTAATAGACTTCACAAAATATTACAAGCCTTTATGGATTAATTCACAAACAGTAAGTACGACGCCAGGTATATCTTAGACTTATTTGAGCGCCTGTACTCTTAGCATAACTCATTAAAAAAAAATTTATGTTTAAATTATACGAAAATCAATGGGATCGGCGTTTATTGGAGTTTTAAATGCATTGTGTTTTAAATGCAATTATTTTTCATTGTGTAGTGAAAAGTGGCGGCAGCAGAACACGATTTTTGCTCTTGTTGTTTGCTTCTTTCGCCGCACACAAAACTTCCAGTTTATTCAAAGTTACAGGACACGCTGTCCCGGCAACCAGGACATATTCTCCATGGCAACTGGGTCCGTCGTCCTTGCTGCACTGTCAGCATCATTATGGCTAATAAACATTGCCATTTGCGGCTGGCCAACACAGCGAGATTCGAGAGGAGAGGACGAGTGCAGGACGAAAAGGGTCTTTCGTCACCCGGGGACTCAAACAGAAGGTGAAAGTTACTCAACTTATGGGCAAAGTTTCACTTAATGATCAATGAAAGTTTCAGAAGAGTCAGTAGAGCTGCAAGTGGTTAAAGGTCTCCAGCAGAAACAAATGAACAACTTCTTAAAGATTGTACTTATGTAAATCAACTGCTGCGCATTACTGCAAGTCATTCAGGTATCTCTTACGTTTACCTCTTTGGGATAAAATTTAAATCTACTTCCTAATTCTGTATTCCTGCATGGTAAGCCCTAGCACATGTTTATGATTTGTTTCTTATTTTTTCTTACCTCATCAAGGCTGACTTAGTTTGTGAAGGCAAAATTCGAATGAGGTCAAAAAGTCAACGGTTGCAATTCATCGACCTCAGAGCCTCAGAGCCGGCTATCATTCCAGAGCTCTAACTTTCCTGATGAATCACCTGCTAATTTATCACCTGGATTTTGGTGACCCTTGTGCAGATGGAGGACCAGAGCTCTCGCCTTAGTTATTATTTTCCATTCATGAAACCTCAATTGGAGTCCTCCTCCTTGCCTTACGCTCATGCATCATGTGTGGACAGACCTGCAAATTGTTTGTAAATAAACGGGCGAGAGTCTGGGCGTAATGCATTGAGTATCTGAACGCATAGAGAAGAGAAGCTTAAGACCATGTTTATGCATAAACAAATTAAGTTTCCAAAGGCAAGAGCCCGAATGAAAGGAGGGGAGAAGGCAGCAGCTGATGCAGCAACTTTCTCTATGGATTTCACCTTATAAGCCCCCTTAAGCTCCTGCTTATATCTCTGTTATATCTCCCCATTTACTCGCATTTTGTCTCTAAACTTCTTATATTAATAGCAAAAGGTGAGTGGTTCAGACTAGACAAGCTGGCTAAGCTAGTGCTGCTTGCTAGATGCTAAAACTTGCCCAGACTCGTCAGCTTCTAATTAATTATGAAAAGTGCCACGCCCACACCACACGTAACACCCACAAAAATACACATACTTGCCGTGAGCTTTGGCTGGTTTATGGAGCGCGAAAAAATATAAAAGTTCCCAAAGGCGGGTGAGCAAAGTATTAACGTTTTATCGCATGATGCGACTACGAAATATCCTCTAAAGCGCCGTAAAAAAGTCATTCTTTAATTCTACAGAGCACAACTATGAATACTGTAATATACATTATAGCTCACCTAGTTTGGGTACCCAATACAGGGTATTTAAGTTCTGGAGGCCAAGCTAGCCTATCTGGTCGTGTAAAAAAGCCCGATCCGCGCACAGAAGCCGCTCCACTTAACGGTTACCCAGCATCCAACACATTCCGCCTCCGAGAACACACACAAAGCAAATTGCTATAGTCAATTTAATTAAATTTGTTTGTGGGCCCAACGAGGCGCAGTTAACTCCCAGCAAAAGCCCACCGATTTCAGGAGGGGAATGGCTGAACGGAGGGCCAGATGGATAGTCGCTGGAGCCAAAACGAAATCCAAAATCCTCGCGAGTCGATACAAAAGGATGCGTTTATCTCAATTCTATTTGCCCAAAGGAGGGGAGATTTCCCGATTGCTGGCTTGGAAGCCCTTTTCAAATATTTACCGTGGAATCTTGGCAAACGAGATTTGTCTTGGCCAATAGATAGCACGAGGAGCGAGATGGCAAAAGAGCTGGCAGCAATAAAATTAAATTTCTTTGGAAAAGCTGGAGGTTTTCATTAGGATCCAAATAGAGCGACACAACACAGCACAACACAACACACATTTCGAAATCAAATTGCAATTTCTTTACAACTGTTAGTTTAAACATTTTGATGATTTTATTTCTGGCATTTGCTGGCCAGCAATTTACATTTTAAAATGTTTCTGCAAATTAATTTATTGGATTCTCAACGATGTCCGGCTATGCATATTCATAAAATCCCTGCCATTATTTAATTTGGCATAGGACAATGTGGCAACGGGCCCCAATTAAAATCCTGATTCAACAAGTTGGTTTTAATCCTCACCTAAGCCTAATTACAATTTGTTAATTTCGCCTGCCCTTTCTAAATGGCAAATAAAACTGCACCATAATTTGTTTTTTTTTTTGTATTTTGTATTATGTTGACCTCAGGCAAACATGCGTCGTATGCGCAATTTATTTACAGCCCCACACTTCAAGCGCCATTGGTTGATTGCGCTGGCTTGTTTAAACATTTATGCGTTTTGGTTGTGATATCGCGAGTTCTGGCGCCCTTGGCAATTTTTCAGTTTACAAGTGAGAATGGCAAACCTGCCAAATGAATTTTGTTCCACTCGGTTACATGTCTCGCCACCTTACTCAGTACGTCTTCCGTGGCAGTTCTCGTCTAAATTGAATTCAACCACTCATTAGTAGTGCTTTGAATGCAACAGTTTGTTGCCTGATTGCTTGTTGCATTCATTAGTCGCTTAATGCAATTGCCATGCACTTTTATGCAACCCAAATTGAACTAACGACGAACGCTCCATATGCGATATGCGACCTTGTGCCTCAGACATGCGGCGTATCCTTTTCGGCAGCAGCAGAATCCAGCTGTATACTGCTCCGCACATTCCGCCCTCGGATGGCAGTATCGTCAATCGCGAAGTAATTGCATTTACCAGGCACGTATGTTGACGATAGTTAATTTTGTAAGTGTATCTTGATATCGATTGCAGTTTGCCGGCGTGTGAGAGTGTGTGTTTGTGTGGAAACGGATGCCACTGGAAATCGCAGGACCAAGAACAGTGCACGGAAACTAAAATAGTATGACTGGCCGAAAGTATAATTTAACTTGGGAAAGGAATTTTTGTACCCACTTTTTTACCTTAAGTAACTAAATTACTATAACAATTGTGACAGTTATTACATGTACTGCAAGATGGTTTTTATTGACAACTTAAATAGTACACTCGTTCTGGTGTTTGGTTTTACTATCATGATTTTCATTGATGAATCATGTGGCACACATTTTCTGCCTGTGTCGCATCAACTTATACTCAAGTTATTTACGATGGCGAAAATTCGGAGAAGCCAGGGCCGAAACGCAATGAGGCGGAATGCCAAGGAAAAATGCAATTGCCAAGGAAACGCCAAGAGCAACCGACAATGATAGAAATTCCGCTCAACGAAAAATCCCCCGAATTGCGATCCTTGAAAGTGGAATTTTGTGCTCCGGCAATTATGTTGATTTCTACGTCGAAAAGGGCTTGTCCAATTAGTTGGCCAGAATCGCTGGTTAATTACGGACCGGGTTCAGGGCAAAGCGAGGGATAAGAAAGCCGTCAACTAAAGCGACCTGCAAACACAATCAACTCCCAGGTACCGAAATCATCAACAGGATGTCCCGGAGCGATCTACGTCTCAGGGCCATAATGGATTTTTAAAAACCAATTTCCGCTCCATTCCGGCGGTGGCTGGCGAACAAAAAACATCGAAAACTAATAACCCGTTCCGCTTTCGTTCTCCGGGGAGATCGGGGAATAGCCGGAGCTACTCAAGCAGCTGCCAAGGAAATTGTTTCAATTTCGAGGAATGTTCAAAGGACGAACGAACGTACGCGGGAGGTGTGCCGTGCAGGACGATTAAAATTCACTTTCGCAATATTTATATAGAAACAAATTAAATTTTCCCAGCTTCGGCAAGTTTTTAGGCGAAACAATTTAATTTCGCCAAACAAAAGTCGACGTAAAAGTCCCCAAAGAAGCAGCCGAAAAATTAAATAGGCGAACAAGTAAGAGAGCAGAACTAAAAATGTACGAGGCTGGAGCGTCTTGTGGCCATAAAAAGCAGTTGGGAAGAAGCTAAAAGTCAAGGCACTGCCTGACTAGCCAAAGTTCTTATACCAGCTTCGTTCAGTGTACGAGTGTATATGCACGTACGTGAGTGTTCGCGGCGAATTGAAAAAGTTTAGACGACCCCGCCGCACCCAAAGCTTTATGAGCCTTCCTCGTCTTCCTCGCCCACCGCTCCTTCTGTTTTAAGGATGGCGGCCTTTTTACGACCGTTTTAATGGCGCAGCAGCGGCCCCAAAGAAACCGAAAAATCCACAAACTTTGCCGGCGGTCAACCGAAAGCAGCGATGCAACAGCTTCAGCGGTGAACTGCTGAGATGGAAGGTGCGCCAATAAAGCCAGAGACGACAGGATGGTATCAGATACTCTGAAGGTTGATTGCAGGACTAGTGCTCACACCTCTAGGCCGTATAAGAAATTTTCATGCTTAAAGCTATAATGATATTTTGATTTATGTGTGTATATTCTGGGAAACAGAAACGTGGGAAAGATTAATTATATAAATGGTGATTCTCTATATTGCGGAAGGAGTTTTCTAAAAATGTGTCCCATATACCATATTTGCATGCGTAACCTGGCAACTACTTCTACCAGAAAAGCTATTCGGTGATTTTTCGCCCTGAAGAAAATGCCAAAAGCTGTGGATACATGCGGAGTCCCTAAATTAAACTTTTGGGTTGGTAGCAAACGCAAAAGCAAATGGCAAATGGCTGACCAGAAGTCGCGGCTAGAAAGTGGCTGGTAAAACGGCATAAAAAACGGATACAACCCCAAAGGCTGGCATGTGTCCGCGAAATATAGCAGGCAGTGGCCGAAGGGGTGAGGGGGCGTGTGGCGTGGGGCGTGGGGCGTGGGCGGACCATAAATGGTCAGAAGCCAAAAGCCAGAAAAATGCGATGGCCGAAGCAAAGAACAAGTAGCCGCAACAGGCAGCAAAAAAGCAACTGGAGCCAACGAGCATTAAAAAACCCCAGAAAACAGCAAAGCCACAAGGGGATAGGCTATTGGACGGGAAAAGGGGTCCAAAGTCGCGGCAAACTTCAATTTGGTTTTGCGCTTTGAGTTCTATTGCGATTCAAATCGCAGTAGCCGTTGCTATCGATACCATCAATTGCGCGACGAAGCGGTCCAATATTCCTCTTTTGGACGATGGGTAACAACTGGCTAAATACGCGAAATTATTACCTCTTCGTACTACAATTTCTTTAACTTTTATACAAAAATGAGCTCATGGAACTAAATTAAACTGGGGGGAAGGCTTTAGTCTAGTTCCTTACCCTGCAAGGGAGAAATATAAAAATTACTAATAAAAAAGCAAAAATGTGAATTTTTAGTATATGATATATCGATATATCGACGCTCTGCCTGTTATCGACTTTTTAACGAATTTTGTTTGAGAACCAAAGCTCATACTTCTCTGTGCAATTCAAGTTATTAAATTAATTAGCTTATATATTTGTTAAAAATTCAACATTTTTTCAGAAACAACACCTATTATTTTGCCAACTATTTCTTCGACCCGTCCCATGACACTGTCCCCGAAAAATTTTCAACCCACAGACCGTTTCAGCTCATGCTTCGACGCCTTTGCAATCGCGTTTGGCATTTGGCATTAATGGCTGCAGGGGAAGATGGTGTTGGCTAAGCGGGGGTGGGCGGGGAGGAAAATTGGCAGTAGCAGGAGATGTAGCATCGCGGCCAAAACAAAAGACGAAAGGAAACAAAGAAACCGCGCCACAGTCGCATTACACCCATCCGCCCCACCGCTCGTCTTTTTATTCGAAAATATTCATTAGTCCGAAGTGGCATCGATCGGAGCGGGAAATAGCGATAT